AGCTGCATCAAGAAGATCGCGATGACCGAGCCGCTCGTCGACACGGTCGAAGGCGACGCGATCGTCTCGAACGTCTGCCCGATCCTCGTACGTTGCCGATGCAAAGGTCGAGTGCTGACTGCGGATGTATAGGACATTGACTTGGCGACCGTCAAGAAGGAAGACCTCGCGTTCAAGTCGCCGTTCTCGGTCGTCTGCGCGCGCAAGGATTTCTGCCACGCGCTCGTCGCGTACTTTGACTGCGCGTTCACGCACTGCCACAAGCCGATTGCGTTCTCGACGGGCCCGCGCGCCAAGTACACGCACTGGAAGCAGACCGTGTTTTACCTCTCGCAGCCGCTGACCGTGCGCGCCGGCGACGTCATCGAAGGCACGCTGAGCTGCGTGCCCAACGCCGCCAACCCGCGCGACCTCGACATTGAGATTGACGTGCACTTTGACGGCGCCAGCAGCTTCCACGAAAAGCACCAGTACTACCTGCGATAAACGGCTGCACCGAATGAACCTTTCTTTACTCTCTTCCTACGCTATATGATGATGATCGCCCATCTGCATGACACGGGGCCACGACGGAGCATGCAAGCGCTGTAGTATCGTGTACGGAAAGGGTGGTGGCAACATCGGTCTTGCCTGCAGAGCCGACGTCGCCTTACGGTATGATAGGAGAGAGGAAGCGACCGTCGCTGAATGCTCCTCACATGACAGTTGTATCGACCCGGCAGCTGCAAGCTCGCGAGGCTGGACGTGCGGCTGTCGTGGCTCGGCTGTCCATCACCAGGTCGTCTGCGTGCTTGCCATTGTGGACGACGTGCATGCACCCCTCGCAACGGCGCTCCATGTCCTCCTCGATGGCCTTTGTACGAATACTGTGGAGACACGGTCGTGAACGACAAGAAATCAACAGGCTTGCTTATAAAATAGATCGGGTGGTTCTCGTGCGTTCTAAATGTCGTCTTCAAACTCAATGCCCGAGTCGACGTCGTCGTCGTCTTCCATGTCGACGTCGTCGTCGCCCATCTCGACGTCGTCGTCGCCGGCGGGCTCGTCGTCGTCGCCAATGACAATGTCCGGGTGCAGATTGTCGAGCTGCTTGGCCGCGTTTATTAAGTCTTCTTCGTTGAGGAGGTCGTCGTTTGTCATGGCCATGTCCTCGGCTTGCATTTGCGCTTGCGGCGCCCAATCGATCGGGAACCGCGTCACGCGCGGCTTGTCGGCGAGGATGTTGCGCGCCAGCTTGGTAATGTCGACATTCGCGGGCGGATTCTCAACCAGCGCCGGGTCGCTGTAGTCGTTGTTGACATAGTACCCGACGCGCACAAACTCGCGGCCCTTGTACGCGCACGTGACGAGCACGACCGTGACGCCAATCTTGTCTTCGTCCGGAATGAGCGCCGGGTTCGGCGGCTCGGACTGGAACACAAACTTGTTGGTGCCCACGGGCACGGGCCCGACGAGGACCTCCTCGAGCACTTGGTCGCGGCTCTCGTCCTCGGCCGACCCGACGTACGTGATCTTCCACTCGAGGTCGTCTTCCAGCGGGTGGGCGCACTCAAAGGTCACTTCGAACTGGAACGGATTCGTAAACGCCGTCGGGTTGTCCAGCACCGTGATGTTGGTGAGCGTCACGTAGGCCATCGGTCAATAGTCGTCGCAAGATGGAAAATGGACCAAGTCGAAGGCGGCGCCGATTCCGGATACCACGAGCTGTCCGGATACAAAACGCGTTTCCCGCGTCAACGGCGCCAAAGGCGCCAATCAAACGGCTTCGCGCTTTGAAAAGATATCGGAGCGTGGGAGAGCGTCGGAAAGGGATCGGCGCTTGGACCTTGAGACCTTGGAGACATGGTGTCCCAGCCTACTAACTGTTGAAGAGAAGCTCGAAAAGAGAAGAGGTGTGAAGCTGTTGGAAGCGTCGACCAGTCGACCGTAGCATTTGCGAAGTAGGCGCCCACATCGTCGTGAGCGCCATGTGGGCAAGCAAGGCCATCGTGCAGCCTGTGCCGATTGCAGCAAGGACGTTTCTACCGATGCTACATGTCCACATCCTCCTCGTCTTGTCAAGCAATCACAGCCCGCAACCAAATGGCCCGCAACGATGAGAGTGTCGCCGCGCACTGGAGCGTCGTGGGCTTGAGCATTGCGCGATACAAAGAGTCTGCAACGCCTGTCGAGCACGCTAGCACTATCTATCGAAGCTTCGCCGTCAACACGGTCGCAAGAACGCCCCAGGATTCGTCTTAGGCAAACGCGGACCACGTGTCGTCACACTCGAGCAAGTCATTCCTACCGTGTCCTTGCTGCTATGTAGCCTTGTTTCTTGATCGGCAGCCGATTGCTCGTGTCCTGTGAATGGACGAGGGGCATCTTAGCTGAGTAGGTAGATGTCTGAGGACTTATATGGCTCGTTTGTTGTGGTTGCCGGAGCTTGCGCTTCTTCCGTCAACGGCGACAAGTCGTGCCGTAAAACCAATGGGGTCCGGTCCGCCAAGGACTGGACCTGTATGAACTCGTGGTATTGCCTTACACTTTGTACGAGCGACGATGGGTGGGCAAAACCACGCAAGCGTTACCGTGCTTCTTCGATCAGCTCATGTTGTACGAAGCACGTGGGTTCATTACCCTGGGCTCATCGCGCCTTCAACTGCGTGTAGAAAGGTGCATTCTACCGTCATCGACACCCGTGGATGCAAAGTGTGGTGCAATTTCAGCTTGGACCATCGCATTGAAGAGGACATTTCTTCGAGTGCGGAAGCAGTGGCCGGGCCGCTGCAGACGTCCGCATATTGAAAACAGCCAGCCACGACCACGAGCCCATGTAAAAGCGTGGATGGACCGAGATGCAAGGTTAATAATTAGGCGTCGACTGAATGAATTGGTCAAGGAGCACTTGGCGTGGTTGGCGCTTTTGGCGCGCCTTGACACCAAAGAGGTCGTTGGGATCGCGACGATCCTCGGTCGTCTTCTTGGCCGCCGACGACCAGAGCGCCTGGGACTTGGGTGCTTGCGTGGCCGCTCGTTTGGACTGCAACCAGCCATTGCTACCACCACTGGCACTGGCACTGGCCTTCACAATGCACTTGGTCAACCAAATGGCATTCAACACGACGTTTACCGGTGGTTGTTTGGACGACAGCGTCGTGTTCGGAAATTGATTTTCCTTTTGGAGCATTCTTCGCGGAACGTTCGGCTTCTCGACATGCGTCATCGGCGCACAATACGCCAAGTCCTCTAGACAGCATCGGCGTTATGATGAGCATGATTACACGAGTGACGCACCCGACTCAGCGTCCGAGACTTCTTCGTTGCCGTAGGTCGGCGGCGGGTCCCTGCGGCCATCCTGCGACAGCTTGAGGTCGTCGGCAAAGAGGCTTTCTTGGGACAGTGCTGGGATCTCATTGATGCTCTCTTCGTCGTACATAAAGTCGCCGTCGTTGGTGCGCGTGGGCGGCGCGTGGACCACATCTATACCACAGATCGTATCGACGAGGTGGTGCTAGCGCCTTTTAACTACCATCAAAGACAAAGCTGCCATCGTCGTCTTCGCTTTGCTCGAGATCCGAGAGCGTCTACATTAGCGTCAGCAACCTTGCGTGGCGACGTCC